GCTGGAGGATTATTTAGCAGAAAATAAAATTGTTAGTAAAACATTAAAAATACTACATTAAAACATTAAAAATACTACAATAAAACATTAAAATAAAATTGTTAGTAAAACATTAAAAATATCAACAATTAGGTAAAAAGGATTATTGGAATTATCTTGTTTATTAATATTAATAACTATTTTACTTATTACTTAGTCACAATATTAATTTTTCAGATTTGCAATATTTACAAAGACAATAACAATAGAGGAATTAATTAATTATGAGATTCAAGAACTCAGTTCAAGATTGTATTAAAATTTTTGACCGAAGAGGATATAAAAATATAAACATCGCAACTGTTTTTCGAAATCTAAAGATATAACTACAGTCAATGACATCCGAAACAGGATAATCTTGAGTTAAATATATCATCTTTTCAGATCGACGACTGACGTCATAATGGTCTATCTGTGATTATCCATTTTTGCTCGATTTCCTCAAAATTTATTGAAAATTTATTGAAAATTTCAAATTAACTACGCAATCTTCGAATGTAATCATGTAATTTAAACTCGAGTATCGAATGTTAGTTGAACGTTTTAAAGGAGTGTCATTTTTCAATTCGGTTCCTTCAGGATCTTCAGTGTCAGTCCTTGAATGATGACAGGATCTGTTCGTGAAACTTTATAGCCTTTGTGCACGCACTATACTTCTATTGATTACAGATCCGACTCGAAAGATCATGACTGTAGTACTCACATACGTTGTAGCAGATGCGTTGTTGACGCCATCTAACTTCAAGAAATGTACTTCGGTCAAAGGTACTACTCAATGAAACGGCGGTTGGATGGTGGAGTGTGTAGCAATATGGCTACGTGTCGATTGTGTTATTGCGTGTTCAAGATAGAGTCATAGATGCTACTTCCGTAGTGGGACGGGTTTTGCGATCGTTTAATAAAACTGGCTTATTGATTGCAATTATGTCAACGACTAACAAATGGGATTTGTCCCAGGAGGACATGAAAAGTGCATCAAAAGATGAAAAGGTGAGTGGACTGCGACAAGTTCAGTACTATAATTTTGATAGTGTCGTGAAATGCAGATCATTTGGCGGGAAATCTAAATTTGAATGATTTCAGGAATTGTTATTAGAGCACGATAGTGATTCGGATGAAAATATGCTGTTCAAGTGAGTTTAATATATTGAATTACATTTTTTCATTTGGAAATTTGGAAATTATTCTTTTACGTTTTAATGAATTTGTTTTACATTTCAGTCGACCAAGTACATCTGTAGAAACTAAAGTGGATGAAAAAATGGATAAGTAAGACTATTTTCTTTAATCTGTAAATGAAATCTGATTTTTTAAATAAAATCTGATTTCGTACTATACTTTAACATAATAATGGTTATATCATTGATATTTGCTTATTTGGGGCCTAGTGTCAGGCTTGAAATTCAAAAAGTCACAGAAGTGATGCGGGAGAATGTACAGAAAGTTATGGAACGAGGAGAGAAGTTGGAGGATCTACAAGAAGTTAGCAATCGATTGACTATGGCCGGAGATGAATTTAGAGCAGCAGCAAAAAAAGCTCAACAAAGGGCATGGCTGCAGAACTTTAAAACAAGAATCATTCTAGTCACTATTACAGTGACTATCGTCATTTGTATTATTGGTATGATGCACGTTATTGCTAGAAAATGCATGATAAAGGCATGTTTTTATATTGCATTTGAAATAGAAATGCTCGATCATTTATTTTATAAACTATAAGAACATCAATATTTTAAATCGAAGAAAGAAATAGTAAATGGAAAATGTATTTGAAATACATTTTCTTAAAATCTTAAAAAGATTGAATTTTATAAGTATTTGTGTGAAAACTTGACATTTTAGTATTTTTCTGGCATAGACTCAAATTGCGCATTTCTAGTTTACTCATCGAACGTTTGTGTTTATCTTATTTAGTAACATCGTGCACCACGTTATCATCGTTCATTACATTCATTCTATTGCATTGTATTCCTCGTTGCAAATCAGCTATTCCATAAAAAAGAATCATTCTCGATTATCTACGTTTACGTAGTCAGATCGACGCGTATCGTTTTCAGTTCTGGACATCATGGTGCTTTACCTGGTTCTCAGATAGCGAACACGATGTAGTGACTCTCGATCGTTCGATTTCAGGTATACATCACTGTTTTCCACTTCTAATTTGTTCGCACGATTCCATCCTAGCATTTCTTATCCTTTTTTTAACAGATAAATAGGTTGTTTATCATAGTTGTTGCAAAATTTGTCGCAGTTAACAAGTTAAACAAGATATTGTTTTTTTCTTGCATTTTAATACTATCCATTCCTCACTCGACTTACACGCGTTTCATACCGCTTTAATGGCTGATTAACAGTCGACAGTTTTAAACGCATCATTGGCGTTTTATTTTTCAGTATCCATCATCGTGAAATATTCATAATCGAGGCAGCCAGACTGAAACACTGCTGTTTGCAAGAGTATGTTTATATTTGTACCTGTCTTTCATGGATTATCTACGCATTATCATAAGTTTATATAAATATATATGTTGTTATTTTTCATCAATTCGCGTTTATCATATCTTCCAAACCTTTGACGAGTTGATGTTAGGAAATATCTCTTCGAAATTCCGATTACTTTGACAAAAATTTAATTTCAATATGACATAACGCGTATCTGATTCTTTGTTCACGATTTTTATCTCGTTTAAGCCGTTGAAAAATATAATATAACTATCACAATTTAATTATTCATTCTCATTACTTTTTGTCCTATTTTTCTTAAAAAAAAATTCGATATGTTATTAATTAATGAATTTTATATTTCTTAATTCTATATATTACAATTCTTAATAATTATGCATTCTTAAATTATTAAATAATCAAGATCAATTAGAATTATAAGAAGAAAGAAGCTCTTTCGCGTATTATTACAAAATTTGCTCGCATAAGCGAACGCAACTACGATTACAGAACATGAGCTCCCCACTATCAATAACGAACACTTGTATATACGTTTCGCGAGAGCTACACATATCGGTAGACAACCGCTCGTGTACATTGTACGCGGTCGTTAAACGGACATTCAGTCGTTGTTCGATCGCGACATCGATCGCTTGCTCGCGTCGTCCGTATTCATTATCGAACGTAAATTCAATTTTGCACAAATTTTTTTTGCTCTTCTTGTTCTCTTTTATTCTTTCTTACGCGATCGAAACGTGCATCGACAGATCCAAGCGCGGTTTTCACATTAGACAATCATGGGAATATACGAGATAGTGATTGCGGCTATATCCGTATTTATCGGCGCTTTTTTACTCACGGGAAAACGACGACGTTTCATTTACTTACTCTACAAAACTTTGCCTAGAGACGTGCTGTGAGTATTCAGGAAAGCTATTTATTAGATTAAATTGAGAGAATGCCATCATGATGTGAAATACCATCGTGACATACCTGTTTCGCGTTTCTGACGAAATATTAACCGATGACATAATTATTTTCTTTCACCGTTGGTATTTACGTGAGAATATTTTAATCAAACTGATTGGTTGCGTCACGTATTAATTTGGATAGCAATATTATTAATAAAAGCACGGATGGTGTTCTGTTCGGCAAACGGCCTTCGAATACCATGTTTGACGTTTAGTGATATTGCGAGACCATGTGCTTGTGTTGATAATTGAGGTCCGCACGATTGCAGAATAAGGAAACATGTTAAAATAATCATTCGCGATCCGTTCATGCGAGTTTCTTGTTGAGAACGCTTTCTTAATCATTTCATAATCTATGCCACTATAAAGACTTTTTCCTATTTAAATAATAATTTCGAAAAGAGCATACTCGTTTCGTATATATGCTCATTACGGTGCTAAATTCTTAGACAAATATCTCTAACCCCGAATGTCCCGTTTCAAATGACATCTGAATAGACTATCAGGCTTGGAATTATACACATCAAGCTGCAATATGTATACGCCAAGTTCCTTCTCCTAACTCATTCTTTACAATTAGATCACTTAAGAAATTTTACGATACTATTGAACGCGATCAAAGGTCCTGTGTCGACTGAATCACGTGAACGCGTGATTGCATTGATGAACCTGTGAGTTTTGAAGAATTGCAAAAATCCGTCAATATGCAAAAGAGTTATTAAAATCGTACGTATTTCGATAGAAAACACAGCTTCTGTTCTACAAAGATATTCGATGCATGATTTTTATTGTGAGTAGAAGTAAGAATATTCTTTGTGCATGCGTGTTGGCTGTATGTTCATTGGCGGATGCATCCCGCGCATTGTGCTACCGTGAACGACTATTGTAGAACCAATATGAAGTGCATGGAATTTAAACAGTCGGTTGAATAATATTGTTTTGAAGCCGCGTGCACGCTCGATGGCCCAATGCATCGTGTAAATGTCTCGAGTATCGAGATTTAAGATCTAATTTTGATCGGATCGATCTTATCTTCTAATTTTCTTTCGTCCTTTCATTTGGTGTATGATTGTTTGACGACAACGACAATGTCGTCAAACGATCAAAATTTGATTACAGGGCAGTCTTTTTTTTTTATTACGAAAGGAAACAAGTAAGATTTTTTTTTGTATTTGCAGTAAAGAAGAAGTAGATTTGGCGGCGAAGTTCTTACGAATTCTTAAAAATTCTCCAGACATATCTTTAATATTTTGATATCCAAAATTATAGAATTATTCTAAACTATAATTGCGTATAGTGTGCTTCATTTTATTGATGCATGGAAACACGATTTCCTATAGTGGAGTGTTCGATCGATACATTGATTATATATCCGCTCAAATAGCATTTATCAGCATTTATTTTAATCATAGTTTAAGTTATATATTGTTAATAAAACTCCGCTTTGAGATCAACTCTTGTATGTATGTTTTGATTATAAAAAAGCAACTTTACCCACTTTTAAATTCATTAAAAAAGAGAGAAA